ATTCTAGCTAACTTACATTAAGGTATTCTAAATATAGAAATATATATATATATATGCGCATGTGCATACACAAAGCATGCAAATAAACAGAAGATATTTGGTACCAAAAATAGATTTCACTCTAGCATAAGCAGATGCATATAAGTAAAAGGCAAATGCATATAAACAGAGCGATGAATAACAAAGCTAGCCTATAGGTAAAAATTTCCTCTTCTTGAATTTTAGAGCAAATACTCACAATGCATCAGCATTCCTCAACGGGTAAGAATTGACTACCGAGGAGGGCTGGCTTCGCCCTGGCCTTTCGTCAGCTCTGTCAGCAGATGACCTCAAGGAGTTGGTGCTCGAGAGGCGTCCCACCTTAGGGAAGATACTGGCCACAGCCCACTGCAATCCAGGAGATATCAAAGGGTCTCCCTTTTGGGTCACATATTTACAGGGTTCTGAGATAACTGACTTTTGTCAGAACTCTTGTGGCCAACAATTCTTGTCAGGTGATCTTGGCAGCTTTCACAGTGGGCTTGTAATTGGGGCAGGAGGGATCTCAGGTACATTTCCCAGGCAAAAGGACTTCCAGGTGCGATTAGGGAGTGCCTAACCATCCCAGCTCACTGTACTTGTACTGGGGCTTGAAGTTTGTCCCAAATCACTGCTTCAGTAAACAAGATCAGAAAGTGCCATATTGTCTCAGCTTACAATGACTGGTGTTGACATAGAATTGTGGCACCAGGGCTGATGTTGACATCCCAACACGGCCCAAGGGGAAGAGGTTGCACCACCACACCTTCTCCTCAGTGCTCTCAATCTATTCTCCACCCAGCATGTATTTGCTTGGGATTGCCCCTACTCAGGTGCAGGACCTTGCACTTGGCCTTGTTGAACTTCATGAGGTTTGCATGGGCCCACCTCTCAAGCCTGTCAAGGTCCCTCAGGATGGCATCCCTTCCTTCCAGTGTGTCAACCGCACCACCCAACTTGGTGTCATCGGCAAACTTGCTGAGGGTGCACTTAATCCCACCATCCGAGTTGCCGACAAATATGTTAAACAGTGCTGGTCCCAATACTGACCCCTGAGGAACGCCACTCGTCACTGATCTCCATTTGGACATTGAGCCGTTGACTACAACTCTGAGTGCGAACATCCAGCTAGTTCCTTATCCAGTGAGTGATCCATACTTCAAGTCCATGTCTCTCCAATTTAGAGACAAGGATGTTGTGTGGGACAGTGTCAAATGATTTGCACAAGTCTAGGTAGATGACATCAGTTGCTCTTCCCTTATCTATCAGTGCTGTAACCCCATCATAGAAGGCCACCAAATTTGTCAGGCACAATTTGTCCTTAGTGAAGCCATTTTGGCTGTCACCAATCACCTCCTCATTTTCCATGTGCCTTAGCATAGTTTCCAGGAGGATCTGCTCCATGATCTTGCTGGGCCCAGAGGTGAGACAGCACAAAGAAAGCTGACCAGCTAGTTAGTACATTTATCATTCTAATGAGCCAATAATTCTTGGTGCACAACAGCAATAATCCTTAATTGGATCAAAAGTTCCATGCAGCGGAGTAAATTATCTCAACACTGCCTAGCAGCATATAGAAAAAAGGAAAAAAACAAAGACATCCTTGACTAAGCTCTCCTTCCAGTTTCTAGCAGCCAACAGTATAAATGTATTTACTGAAGAATAGGCATTCTTTAAAGAAAAAACAGTCTTCTCAAAGACTGGGACTACAAGCAGCAAAAATCTTCTTCAGAATCTGGATTGGGTCTAATATGCATCAATGGACAACTTTACTGTAATTAACACTCTTTTCAGGAAAGATGTCTAGCTTTTCTTACCAGTTGATAGAGAAAAAGGCCCTATACAAATCGGTGAGGAAGGCCTCTAGTCATTCTAGATGAGGCAAAGGAGTCCCAGATCCTTACCATAAACAAAGGTACCCTCCATGCCATCAGTATACACAGAGGGCACATCCCTCATGACCAAGTAGACCAGAAAATCAGTGAGTGATTAATCGGTCATCTTCCCTTTTAAAAAAGGATAGGAAGGGGAACTAAGAAAATGCAGTTCTCTGCCAATAGAGACAGGATTAAGAAGAGAAATGGCAGCAATTACTCCAAATCATACAGCAGTGCAATGTCTGCATGCAGACTACCGTCACTAAAGTCAAGCTCCCTGGGGCCCAGCACTGACAAACTATCTCCAGCAGACATTTTTGTAATATCCAAAGTTTGTTAGAACCTACTAAAGGAACGGGCAAGCTTAGCCCAACAACTTCTTAAGCCTTTAAGGTAGACTTCCTTGCTGGTGTTTAATATGCTCAAGCAGAAAAACAAGGGAGGATGTATCCTGGGAATGGATCATGGTTCAGGTAAAACAGAAGAAAAAGACTGATAAACCACTAACATTTCCCTGGGAAAGGAACAAAGTCAAAGATGCAAAAAGTTGCATTGTTACATACTATAAAATCAGATTTCATTCTGCTTTACATCTTCAAGCACTGAACAAAAGGAAGGACAGCGCAAAAGAATGTTTTCATACATTTTATGGAAGTAAAATATGAAAATCAAACTTTGTTTCAAGTGACACTTCCCAGGAAAATAATAATAAAAAACTCAACCAAAACCAGAGTTCCTCAGTGAGTGACTAAAGAAAGTGTTTCTTATTAAGGTGGCAGAAGAGGACCAAGGCATTACTCAGCTTTGCCATTAAGTAAATACAACATAAAGCAATCAATTCCTTGGTGTAAACATCACAGCTTCCCCACTTCTATCTCTTACTGCAGTGAGGGGCAAACTGAAGTAACAGAGCAGGCAGATAACCATTTAAGCTAAGGGCTATGCAGACCCTTGATGCCAGTTTCTGAACTAACATGAAAGCTCAGAATGGACCATTGTATGGACTAGAATTGAATCCACAAGTATCAATTGGTTAATGTTATGTATCTGCACATCATCAAATCACTCTATCAAACACAATAGACTTCAGAAACGCAAACATGGTGTAACATGAGTACATAGTAAAATGCTGGGTAATAGAGCCAGAATGGACAACAGAGCAGATACAAGGGAAGTAGCCACAAGAAGTCACACTCATAAAAATAAATTATAAAGGTTGTAAAGGTGTTTTGATCTATGAAGCAAAACCACTACTCAAGTCTTGTTACTTCCTTTGCTCACAACTCATTATGACTCATTATGACCCGTGCTTGTTATCAGTTTCAGGATGTAAACTAGAGAAACAGAAGTACCAAGTATAACTATTATTTCAACTTTCTCTAAATAAAATTTTCTCAATTACAACCTGTAAATTTCTCAAGTCTATACACTTAGTATAACACAATTCTTCTATAATTAAGTTTAAGTAACCCCCAAAGGGTTACTTACAGAGATGACACTTGTCACTAAATTGAAGACAGAGGAAAAAAAATTGTCTATGTCCTGATTTGAGGGGCATAAAGGCAAAAAAAGTTTTCACTACTTAGTAGTAGTGTATTCACATGCCACTAAATAACTACGATAGGCAGAAGATCCTGTTGATAGGATGTGACAACCAAAAAGAGAATAAACTACACCAAGGTGTCAAATTTAGTAAAAAAAAATGCAGGAGAGGAGAAAGAGAAAGGTAAGGTATGCAAGTAGGAAATACTTCATTACCAATACAGCAGTTTTCTCTTTAAAAAAGAAACATTTTTTCCTTTTAAATTTAGATAAGAAAGCAGCATATTGTAATACATTGTGCCAGAATTAACTACACCAACATTTGCATGCCTGTTTCAAGAAAAAAAAATTACCTCTTGAAAACTGTTAAAAAAAAATCACAAAAACCCCCACCAAACATCACACCCTCCCACTCAAAAACCAAACCAAACCAAACCAAACCAAACCAAACACACCCCACCCCAAAAAAAAAACCAAAAACACCAACCAACCAACCAACAAAAATTACCAAACACCAAAACACACACACACACACACACCATCTTTGGCCCAAAATTGTTAGATGCCACCTTATAAAAATGTCTTTTCTGAAAGAAGTTAAACATGGACAAAATCACAACTTTATCAATATTTTTGCTTTATAGTTTTAAATTGCAAATTACTTACTATTAGAAGTAGTACAAATCAAAGATATTTTGAAGGAGGAATGCCTATATATAAGTTATGTTATAAATGTATGTGACATCACCAAGAGCAGTTGTGCTTATGAATTAATGCTACATAATTTGTATGACCCTGTGGAAAATATTTAAAGAACTAAAATGGACCACATAAAATTAAATAATATAATATTAGGTTTTAAATGTGTAATTATAAAGAAAAAGTAAGCAAAGTAAGCAAAACATATGCTTATTGCATAGATATACGTCTGCTGCTAGAAAAGCAAGATCTGGTGATAAAAATATTTTTAACTCATTCTGAAATGAATTCACTGCTGCCAGAGTACATTGAATATAAATGCAAACAAAACGTACTGGATTTTAAAGCAATATCCTTGATGCTATGCACTGAGACAATACTCTCTAAATCAGTTTATTTTTCACGTAGTGGATAAATCCAGCCAGTGTAATTATTTTTTCTGCATGTGAACAGTAAAATCAAAGTGCTTATTTTCCCACAAGAAATGTATTCACTGTGAGAATACTGAGTCTTGCGTGAAGCTTTCAATTTAAAGGTTAGTTCTAGAAATTTGGAACCACAACATCAGGGTTTTTTGCTGTTAATAACGTTGACTACACTACAAATGGCTAAAGAACAGTTATGTGTGGAAAAAGCAGAACAGTACAACAGCTCAATTAAGGGAAATGGTTTTAGTGCACTTTGCTCATTTTAGTCAACATGCTACATTGCCCTTTTTGCATACAAAGTGGACTCAAGGATTTCCATTGTAAGAACAAAATGACTTGCCAAGCTAAACACTGTGTCAAGCTGCCTTTTTTTCCCTAATAGACTTGGGCATATTAAGACAGAAGCTTTGAAACACAATTCTTTTTTGTTTTTATTATTAAATGAGTCCAATTTGTTACATTGTCACATTGCTAGTCAGAAATGCTGCAGTGATTAAGAAAGTCAATGCAGGGTCAACCCAAGTCCTCATTCTACAACATTTGTTTGCAAAGAAATTATAGTTATGTTCAACACAACATTCTTTGCTTTCTTCAGAGAGAAGTCCCATCATTCTTCATCTAATGGGGTACGTTACTATATAAATTAGAGATTTTTTTGGACAATACATCTCAAAATTTTCATGAGATCAAAACAAGCTTCCACAGATGTTACAGAAATCTTCACACATCATCATCTGATGTATCACTGCTGCTTGTCTCAGAATCCTCATTCTCCAGAGCAGTTTTGAAAATGCTGTTTTTCCAGGGGCTAAATTTAAAATCACAGATGAGGCCATCTTTCAAAATGCCATTTTTCCGAAGGCCATTTTTTTGTAACTGAAGTGAGAAAACAAGATGTATTCAGAGAAAGAAAAAGCTAAACATGACAATCTGTTGCACTTCAGCATTCTCTACATCATCTATGGGCTACATTAGATCCACTGCATGAACTATTTTATACAGACACACAAAGGAAAATTCACCTGAGAGCCTTCACTTTTGCACCATCCACCTGCATCCGAGAGCCTCCAACTGTGCTAAACTAAGCTCCTGCAGTGAACAAGAGCTTACCCTCTGCTCACCCATTTCCTCAGACATCTTGCCCCAGCGATTCCTCCCATATCATCTCTCCTGTGATGTAGTCCCTTTTTCCACAGTCTGCTGCAAATACCTGTGCTAAGAAGGGCAGGGTCTGCAGTGAGGAAGTGGCCCAGGAAGAAAATAAGCAGGGAGGAATGGGTATCCCAGTCTGCCTACCTGATGCAGTTGGAAAGTCAATGACAGTGGAGAGAAGGAAACAACTTATTCTACAAGAAAGGCATTACTGCATTTCCAGACATAGTGCATAAGCTGGGCAATAAGCCAAGCATTTAAGAATGTAATATTCCAAATGTTCTAATTAGCACCTGCATGGCTAGACTTATGGAAATATCAAATGTTAAGATTTAACATTATTAACAAAACCTCAAGTCTAGATTGCCTTTTCAGACTTTGCTACTAGTGAATTAAGTGTCCCTCAATTTCCAATAGAGAAAATTCAGATTTTGGAAAGTCAAGGAAGCTGCATAAAAACCTTGAAAGAAAATTCCCTTTTCTCAGACTAAGCTGAGGAGCTGTTAAAGCCTGTGCAATTCTACTACCAGCAATGCTGAAACTACTCAGAACCACTCCCCTACACTTCCCTTGATATTTTGAGAATAGGTCTTACCTACAATAAGCACTGGTCCCCTATCTTTTTAAAGCAACTATTCTTCCAAAAGCACAAGGAGGCAAGAGAGAAGAAAGAAAAAAGGTACTAAAATGCATCCCTAACCATCAAAATTACTGGAGAACTCCCTCAAAGGTAGAGGTACATTTAGGGTAGCCACCTACAAGTTCATAATGGAACATAACCTTAGCGTTACCTGTTCACTAATGACTTGGAATTCCCTCATCTCATCCTCTGTTAGTGGAGCACATGTTTCATCATTTTCACTGTCTTCCTGCCAGCCCATCTCCTTTAACAACCTTTAAAATAAAAAGGACAACATTAAGAAATTTGCTACACACACACAGATGTTTCAAGCTCTGCCTACATAGATGTGTAAAGATCTGTAATAAAAGGATTAATCAGACCATATTTTTTTATACAAACTTACATAAAAGTAGGTTAAGAGCCTTACAAAAGATATATAAAGCACAGAAGTTGAGAAGTTCTCAGGTCCTTCACAGGTGACCCTGTTTTACCACTACATGTTTCATTTCAAAGGTTGCAAAAATTGAACAGTAATACTTATAGAACACATTCTTAAATCCAAGCATATATTCACACCATCACTTGCACATACCAAGTATTACATTTCCTGCTATAAGGTTTCACATACAAAATAGACCCTGTTCTCTCTGCCAATCCAGTGAACATAAGGACACAAATGTATCTCCTTTGCATAACTGCTGTGGTGGAGCAACAGTGTAGGAATGCTGGTGATGTCCCTCCATCAGAACCAACATCAAAGATGGTTCCTCACCTCAGACCCACAGTATCTTCTGCATCAAGTTTGGAGATGGAGACAACACACATGGAAGAAGCTGCGTTGATCCACAGTGACAGAAGCACAATTCAGGATGCAATGGCCTCATACAGGTTGTTTTTTTTCTAGCCCATGCTAATGTCAGAGCCAGGACAGGCTTCTTTGCAATTGAGTCTCACCTGATGGCAGATGCTGATATTCCAGCACACAGACTACAACTAGGAGTGAGTTTTCGGATGAGTAGAGGAAAAGAAATGGAGACAGATTCCTCTCGTGCCTAAGCTTGAGATATCCAAAGATGCAATAATAAAAGTGTTTTAGCTAGTGCCCAAAGTGGGACAGCAGTATCTGAGCAGGAAGAAAGTGGGTTTAGGCATGAAGACGCTGTGAAAACATGGGTTATTGGAGGGTGAAGACACTGTGACATTTAACAATGAAGACAGTAAGTTCTCTCGCTGCAAAGATTTTGCCAAAGGAATTAGCACCTTCTTCAGGCAAACCACACGCCTGTTGACCTTAAATGTTAAAGGAGATAAAAGCTATTTCAGAAAAAATAAGATTTCTAAAGTATATGCCAGAACTGACACAAGAAACTGACACTGAGAGCTGAAGAACAGTGAATATACTAAAACAGGGAAGTTAGATGAACTCACAGTTGACATCATGTGCCATTTAGCTGAATGTCAGCAAGAAATGTCCTTCAACATAACCCTCCCTAGAAAAAATTCTAGGCCCCAATACAATGAGCATGCACTGCAGGTGACAAATGCAATAAAAAGCTTGGAATTTGGGGGGGGGGAAGAACAGCACTATTGAGATTGTTTAAAAGTTAACAGGACAATAACAGAAATGAAAGTTACATCCTCTGTAGTGTTTGAGTCAAACTGGACAACATGACGGTCAGGAACAGTGAAATCCTCAGGAAGCAGAAGAAATAATATGCAAGCAATCCAAAACATCTCTCTTAAGAGAATATGTGCATTTGTATACACATACAGAAAAAGACCTGCCATAATGCAATGTCAAAAGCAGTTAAATGACAGTTATATTTTTAGCAACAGTAATTTGAGTCAGAAAATTTTACTACAAGTAAGCTAAGATATAAACAGTATTATGTTTGGTAAAGTAAATAGTTACATAGCTCCTGTTAATGTAAATAAAATTTAGGGCAATAGCTAATTAATTTTTAAGCAATATAATCTAAAGTTAGCAGAACCACTGTCCCTTTAAAGCAACATTAGGCTTCTAGAATGGTTAAAAGTGTGAACTATGTAAAAAAAAAAAGCTTCAGATTAGAAAACTTGACACCAACAGGATGAGAACATAATCACTGAATGTTGGAAACTCCCCCAGCAGAAAGGAAGTCAAAGATATATTTTGTACAAGATGTGCCTACACAGTTATTAGGTACGCACAATTATCCTGTGAGTTAAGCTGGTCACTTCAAGTCCAATTTACCACAAAAAGGCTTACCATAACATGTCTACATACATGCAGAGGTTTCAGCCAAAGGGCTGGTAAGCATGGAGAGACAGCATCTCTGAGATACCATGAGGAAAGATGCTTGCCCAGAAACCCTATGAAGGCCATTCAAAGTCATTTGAATCGACAAATGAGAGCTAGATTTGACTCCTATCTTCTAGTCAAAAATATTCACCAGCAGCCTCTAGCAGCCAAAGATTTCTGTCTCCATAGTCAATTGTGGGGGAAAAAGAAAAAAAAAAAAGGAACAACAAAAAAAAAGGAACAGAGAAGGGTACATTTCATTTTTCATACTCATGAAGAATGAGAGGTCATGAAAGTTTCCTCTGCAGGTACTACAAAAGGAAAAATTTGCTACTCCAATGTATACAAAGAATCTATCACTAAAAGAAAAAAAAATTCTATCTAATTTATCACTACATTTCTATAGTTGCCAGAAACAGTAAGAATTTAACAGAGCTCATGACAAGCTCACCTCCAGAGTGAGTTGTGATTTACCAGCAGTATCATTCTAAATCTCAACCAGTTGCTACTGCAGTTACTATTATGAGATACTAGAATTGTTTGAATACTTTTCTGAAATTACTTTCTCCCTTTCCAGTGCATTGCCTTGTGATATCACTAACAGCATCAACTAGTCAGCTACAGAAATAATTAATTTCTTTAACAATGAGGAAAAACTCACTGGAGTTTTACATAAGATAAAGAACTTAAAGTATTATTAATAAAAATGGCAATTACATGCATTGTTTTTCCTAGACATGCAGACCAAAATCAGAGGGATAAAGTCACTATGTAGTTTGCTTTATTTCTTTAGAATGAAATACATCAAATTTTTAGTAAAACAAGTTTAAGATGTCAGTAAACAAGTCTAGTAGAAACAAAGTATATTCCATGTTAAAGTAGTACATGTCTAAAGTTAGACTTTGATAGTACTCATTAAACATTTTATGTGTTCTCAGTTTTCAGATTCTGACTTCTGAACTAGTAAGAATTTAAGACATGCTCACTTACCATGAAGGAACACTCTTTATATTATAATAAAGTACATACCTATGCTCTGCCTCAAGTGAGCTTGAAAGAACATCTGCCCGAGGGAAAGTCGAAGATCGAATGATCTGTTGAGATGTAATTGGAGCATTGCCATTCTCCTGCAGGATTTCATTTTCAAAGTTACGGTTTATATCTCTCTCCTGATGAGGACTGTTGCTGTTGTGCAAGTTAAAGGACTCATCATCCTGTTAAAAATAATTATATATTACAAAGTTTAAAAGTAAATTCCATTCACAAGTAAATGTCTGCAAATGCTGCAATTCAGTGATTCTGTTTAATTTAAATTAAGTTTAAATGGAGACGCTCCATACTAGTTCGAGGGTAATTCTGTTCATGCTTCTAGAGTTTGCAATACCTGGATACTACAAAGTTATGCCATTGATCAAGTAATGTAGAAAGCAACTCCCATGCTCAGCCTCAAACTTTTTTCTACAAAGTTTCAAACTTATCTTAAAATTCAAACTTATTATTTCTATAAGTATGAAAGGCAGCTTAAATAAGTTAGCTGTTGAATTTACAGACAAGGTTCCTAATTAAATATCAGAGCCATGCATGTCAGGAGAAGTTTGAAAGCAAAAGAGTTCTCAAGTTTGCTTAGTTTAAGGGGCAGGTCATTTACTTAACCATCAAATTCATCTGCTACAAGTTCAGAAAGATTGGACACTGCTCTTTAAATTCAGACAACAGCTTCCCCTACACACATGCACACATCACAGAGCTTCTAAGGTGGCTGTTACTGTTACTACAACTGTAACTTACTAGCCATCCAATAAGAGCTAGGAAGAAAGTTAATTTAGAAAGCAGACTGTTCAGGTTCACCAAAATATTAAAAGCTCTTTAATCCTATAAACCAGAGATGTTTCTTTTCATTCTACTCATTCAGCAACTTGTAATTCTTATTTATTAATGAGCCTAATAGGCTCAGAAATCTTACCAACTATAAAAACAAAGAGGAGAGTATGAACATTATCTAGCTAACACCCTTTTGACAACAAAATCCCTTAACTTGGCATATAACAGCATTATCCATAGCAGGAGGCAATCGCTCAGTTCTGCACTTGTACAAAATCATACTTCAGAGTCCACAATTAAGACCATCTATTATCATTGCCCTCCCTTGCACAGTGTTGTCTGCCCCCAGAAATTTTAGAATGCTCAGCAAGAATTTCTTAAGAATAATACCCCAGTAAACATATATTCACCTGTTAAATCATACGCTTGAAGAATACATCTCATATAATAAAAGAAAATTCATAAAACAAAATAGTTTCTTAGAAGCATGATTCAGCTGCTGATCACAATTTGCCTCATTATTATTTTAGAGATGAAATCTGTTACTGCAGGCCTTAAAATTCCATCAACGGGATCATGTTATAAAAGTCTGTTGTGTAGTTTGGTTTGAGAAATGGTTTGAGAAGCAGAACCAAGTTTTTCCATTAATCATTTTGTAGGATAAAGACCAGTGTCCTGATTTTGCTGGTATATAATCATAGAATCAATTTTCTATCCTCTTCTCTTTCCTCAATGAACACCATCCCTGTGGAGGGTCTTGCCTGTCATTCTGCTCCTGAGGCCTACTCCTCTGTTCGGTGTGGCCATCACATTTTGCTGGAGCTGTTGTGTTCTCAGTCTTTATTATCTTATCTAATATTCACTGCTGGCAGCACAGAGACAGCAAGTGCTATATGAGCTGAGTATTTTTATGTGTTTTTATTATTGTTGCTCCTGTTATTATTAAAATATTATTATTATTATTATCATTATCATTATCATTACCATCATTATTATTAGTATTAATTTCAATCATTAAACTGTTCCTATCTCAACCCACAAGTGGCAGCACTGGAGAAAGAGTAGAACTTGGAGCAACTTTTTAAAATTCATCAAAAGGTAATTCCTTTCCTTCATTTAGAGATCAAGACCATGACTTAACAGCTGTTTACAGACAAATAAGAAGTAGTTTATGTTCAGTCTGAGAACTGTTACTGCTGGATCTACAATAGGTATGAATAAAACTACCTTGTCTTGCCCAGCATGATTCTCATCTTCAGGTTCTTCTTCCACTCTGTCTTGTTTCAGTGCTTTCAAAAATTCACTCTTCTTATCAGTCCGCATTCTTGTCAATTTTGTTAAACGAGGCTGACTAACTTTGTCAATAGGGGATGACGAATTTGACCAATTACACTAATGAGGGGGGGGTGTGTCAAAAAAAAAGAAAGAATATTAGAAGTTAATTCATTCAGAAAACTTCAAATAAAAGACAAAGAAACACAGGCACCTGTAGTTTCAGGTTTCATGTATATCCACAGTAAAAAGCAGAGGGAAGATATCTGTATTTCAGTACATATAGTTCTTACATGTAACCCCAGAGATGAAGGTTTATGGAGCTCTGCTAATAAACAGTGGACCTTCTGAAGTGTATCACACTATTAGCAGTTATGAAGTTTAAACCTGCCAGGTTATACTTCCTAATGCACCATTTTTACTCCAAATCAAACTTACAAAGCAAATATTGCAGTACTTAAAAGCCAGTGATGTACCTTCCGTATTTCTGTCTCCGACATTAACTTCCACAACAATAAACTTATTTAATATAGTTCTGCATAAAACTTATTGATCCAGTTATCCAACCAAACAAATTTAAAATTTGATGGATTTGATTAAAAACTACAGACATTGCTTTACCTCTTCCACTGAATTCTGTGATAAAGTAAATGCCTTGGCAGTTGATTTGAAAGGACTGAAACTACCAATCCCATATACAGATTCATGAGAAAATGAATTCCCAAGTTTATTTTCTTTTGCTTGGCTTTTCCACTGTGTAGGCTAAACAAAAATTTAAACAAAAATTTAGACAGTCATTAACTACAATAGGATTATTTTTAGGAATATTTAGAAAAACGATTAAGCAAAACCAAATCATAACTACAACCATAGTTTAGAGCAAATACCTGTTTTATTGTGGAAAAGAGACTGTTTATGAGCAATTCATCCTCTCTCACAAATACTGTTTACACTTTTTATATAGAGTTAAATTTACAAGCAATTAAGACCCTTATATTTGAGGTATTAAGAATCAAAACATGAGTCTTCAAGTAGCTGAAAGTAGTGTTTTTAATGTATTATGTCAAGAGAGTTAAGAACAGCTCCATCAGATGCTCTCAGGAGCACAGGAAAATTCCTGAAACAAAATCAAAAGATGAACATGAAAAGTGGCATATGGAGAGTGACCGGAAAGACATTAAGCACATCTATATCAATAAATGGGATAAATTCTGGAGGTACTTTTATGCCAACTATAGCTCTCCACTAGGTATCTATTTTTCCGTTAAAAATATATATACAAAAGGCATTGCTATTCTGTAAGTTAAAAACATCCTTTTCACTCTCCCTTGGACAGCTCTTGCACTTCTTAAAAAAGGTAAATGAGAAACAAGAGAGATCCAATTACAGTATAGTTTAAAAAGAAAAATGAGAAAAAGTGTTTCTGTTCACTTTCAGGGTGTTCTGCACTTAGCAAGATTTGAAAGCATAATACTCTAGGAACAGTACTCTCAGAGGTGAAATAAGCACATTCAGAATTAGAGCATGATTTTTTTCCAGCATGTTGTTCATGCCACCAGTATCCAAGACTCACCTTTGCGGGTGGAGTAGCAGGTTTAGGGACTAATCCTTTATAAAAACTTGTGCCAATTCCATTTTTTACTGGCTGCGAATGAAGACTTCCTACTGCAGGGAATCCAGATATCTGCAGTTCTTTTGTAATGCCCTTTTTAATGACCAGCATTCTTGGAGATCTAGATTTAGTATTCAAATGGTAGTCTGGGGGAAAAAAAAAGTGTGTTTGTTTGTTTGTGTGTATATATATATGCATGCATATACATTCTTAAGTTCCTAGTTCATAGGGTACTGGATAGCCATATGGTCCAGAGAAAATAGGCATAAATCAGGAACTTGGTCCAATATTAGTTCCACAAATAACTGTAAATTCCTGTAAAAATCTGCGTAAACACAAGTTCTGTTCCATTTTCCACAACCATCTTTTATAAAATATTTCACTTGGCAATGCAGGAATTTTACTTTCGAAAAATAAAGATATCCTTCAGTCAAAGAAGCTAGCTATACAGTTCTTATTTGCAAATCTAAAATCCAAATAGTATTAGTTGTTAATATTTACCTAATCTTCAAAAGACATTATGGTTTTCATATTTCCCTTTAAGGTTACTAAAGAATAATTACTCATATATTTATTAACAATTCATTTTAGATCCAAATGTTCCACACCAAGGCTCTATAAACATAAAAGAGATACCTACTACTGTAGATCACGGTAATGACCAGTTTCTCTATCTCTATGCCTCAGGAGAGACCTTATCGCTCTCTACAACTACCTAAAAGGAGGTTGTAGCAAGGTGTATGTCAGTCTCTTTTCTCAAGTAACAAGCAACAGAACAAGAGAAAATGGCCTCAAGTTGCATCAGGGGAGGTTTAGATTGGATATTAAGAAAAATTACTTCACCGAAAGGGTTGTCAAGCATTGGAACAGGCTGCCCGGGGAAGTGGTGGAGTCACCATCCCTGGAGGTATTTAAAAGATGTGTGGACTTGGCAGCGTTAGGTTAATGGTTGGACTCGATGATCTTAAAGGTCTTTTCCAACCTAAATGATTCTGTGATTCTCTGCAAAATAACCTGCTCTTCCCAGCCCTCCTAGGTTTTTCTTTAAGACCTTCCAACAGCTCTAATCAGTCAGGAGCATTCTTTTATGAGTCCTCAGCTAGAAATAACATCACTAGTGTAGGTGACTCACCTTCAGAACATTTCCTTTTGGGAGATAAATTCTTGACATCTTTACAAAAAGAGGTATACTTGTTCTTGGAAAGAATCCTAGTTGTGGCTCCATCTACAGACCAACAGATTGATATCCAAATAGAAGTGCCACCTCTCTAACAAAAATATACTTAAATTGTAATAACATTGAAGTTTCCTCAATTTCAATCTATATTTTTGTAATATTCTAAAAAAAGAAATTCTATGTTTAAAATAAAACAACTTCAGATCTCCGCTACATTTTTATATTTAGAAACATTGAAATTACTCACCCCACACACCTGCTGCTAAAGATTTATTCTGGTTTGGTATTCTCTCATATTCAGGATTCAAAGATGGCTGAAAGGAAAATTTATCATTATTAAAAATAATATTTAATAATAAGTCTTGAACTGTGAGACCAATGAAATAAAATATCACAATAATATCGGAAATATGACCTCTGCTGTCAAAGATTTTTAAACGGAGACAGACTAGATACTTTCCCCTGTGACCCAAATAGATCAATGCTCACTTGTTTCCTCTTCTCCAAGAAAAGATCTTAAGCAGTAGTCAATGTCATTATATGCACTGTCCAGAGAAAGCAAAACACAATGAAATGGTTCTTCAAAGAGGAAGCTCACCATTCTCCTTACATTCTACAATTTTAGGTTGAAGCATGGGACCTCAAATGGCCGGTGGTAGAAAGATCATTTTGTTAGTAATCCAGATTTCCAGTAAGGTACTTGTGTAGAATTTAATATATACATGTGCCACAGTAAACTGTGGTAAGATATTATGAAATAAACTTAGAATTCAATTATAGTTTCATTTAAACATTAAAGTGACAATAATAAAAACATAATGATAAAAACTGGATATAAAGAGAGAAACAAGTTAGTGGACAAATGACTAACACCCTCTTACCTATGGGAAGAGTGATCCCTTATATGATGATCTGTAACTGTGAAATCTCATGAAGTAGCTTGTAATGGACAAAATGGCACTTGCAGAAACAACGAAACCTTGTTTATTATAATTACAATTAACTTACAAAATCCTCAGCCTCAAACTGTTTGGGTACTTCCTTATCTTCCTTTTTCCCAGTTTCATTATCAGATACATTGTTTTCATGAAGTCCTTGGCCTTTTCCACAGTGAAAAGTGCTGGTACGAATGCGGGAACCTCCACCATGGTATCCCCCATGATGGTTTATATTTTCTGTACCATTTCTGCCTTGTGAACGCCAACCATTCTTCTCTTTTCTCCCAAAATGCCCTTAGATTTTTAAATTTTAAAGAAATGTAATTACTAACAGTTTTAAAAGAACATTCTACTTTTGCAAAATTGGTAGAGCTTAATCTGCATTATTTAACCTGAATTAAGCAAGCATCACTCCGGGATGTGATAACATAGTAAACTTAGTTTTCATTCACATAAGCAGCAGGGAAGAATCTCACAAAACAGTGCCAAAGAAAGAGGATAGTAGTCCAACTACTATCTTAGAGGTCAAATTCCTTTTCTGGCTTCTCATTTATATGTTGTTGTCTAGAGAATTAACTTGATCACCAACTTCTTAAGAAAGAAATACACCTGGAATCACACTACTTTAACCAACCCTTAGTCATTGCATCATCTCCCAGAAGACCTGTCTTTCCATTACCTCTGTTCTACTACAGAATACAGCATTTGGCATAGGATAGCTATTATCATCAGACTTTTTTTCTAGCCGAAGTGCTACAAAGCAACAATGTAAATATATTTAAAATGTTTCATGAAAGCTAAATTATACCTCCATTAGGCCATCCAATGTTAGGATCCAACACATCTGAAGAGTTGTGTCTTCTGCAATTTGCTTCATAATGATTCTCTGTCCAATTTTCAGAATATTTCTCAAAATTCAGTGACGACTGTAAAGGAACACAAGTGGTAAACTTGAGAAATCTGATTAATAACAAAACTGAATTATCAGAACTGTACATTGCTCATGGTATATACAACACATTTTTAAAAGGACTATGAATGGCAGACAATACAGCAGTTCTCAAGTATGCATATGTTCAGAGTTACGTCATCATCTCCCACATAGCAGAAGCCAAAGCTATATTTTCCACTCCAGGACACTGAAACAGTGCTGAGGATCATGCTTGTGACATAAAGTTAGAAACCCAAGTGTTTATTTTGGTTTAGCACCAGAACAGAGCACAAGTGACATGTGTGGCAGCAGAGGAAAAATAAAAAAGGTAACAAAGGATATGAGATCACAGTTTGGAAGGCAGGAAAGAAGTCTGGGATCTTAATTTGGGTGGTTAGAGACTACACACGTGCCTTGCATAGAAAGCAAGGAGTTGCTTCCACCAGAGGCAGTTGTACCCAAAAAAAAGGCCCAGTTTATTAGGCTTGTTATTATAATTTAATGTTGTAGTAAAGCAAAACAAGGGATTCATTTCACTACTTCCCATCGGCAGGCAGGTGTTCAGCCATCTCCAGGAAAGCAGGGCTCCATCATGCATAACGATTACTTGGGAAGACAAAATGTCATAACTCCGAATGTCCCCTCCTTCCTTCTTCTTCCCTCAGCTTTTTATTGCTGAGCATGATGCCATATGACATGGAATATCCCTTTGGTCAGTTGAGGTCAGCTGTCCCAGCTGTATCCCCTCCCAACTTCTTGTGCACCCCCAGCCTACTTACCGGTGGGGTGGTGTGAGTGGCAGAAAAGGCCTTGACTCTGTGTAAGCACTGCTCAGAAATAATGAAAACATTCCTGTGTTATAAAGTTTCCAGCAAAAATCCAAAAGATAGCCCCATATGAAGAAAATTTAACTCTATCCCAGCCAAAACAGCACACTTAATAAGGCAAATGCAACTAGTTACAAAATACAAGTAAAACCTAGAGTCAAAAGTGTACAGATTCACAAATATACTTCAAATTATCATCTTATAAAGTAGGCATTATAGAAATTTTAAAGAAGTAAATCTTTAATATACCAGTAGGAAGTACTTTATAAACTAAAACCTTATGTTGAGAATAGAACTCATACCTAAGGGGATTAAATCAAAAAAGATCATGTCTTATAGTAGCTGTCTTCCCTATTACTTTTATCTGACTTCACTATTTTAACAATATAACATTTCTTTCACTGTTAGGCCTTAAAATTTCAAGAATAAATTTTCATTCTGCAAAAGTAGTGCTTAGCCTTGCTGTTGTACATGCCACACATATCCCAGTAAGTCATAGTGGAGAGCTGTGTTACCCAACACCTCCCTGCCACATAGTCAACCTTTGATGCATATGAAGCAAAGCCCTCTTCTCTCCAGCGCATACTGTGCACATACGTATGCATTGTATTGTACATATACAAGAGATCCAACACTTCCCAGGGCCATAATAGTTACAAATGCATAAATGCACATAAAAGTGAAAATGTACTATGTGAGCAAAGTAACATGGGACATGGTTTAGTGGGCATGGTGGTGTTAGGTTGACGGTTGGACTTGATGATCTTAGAAGTCTCTTCCAACCTTAATGATTCTGTGTGATTCTGTGATTCCAGGGCGTATCAACCTTACTGCACCAAAAGTATCAACTTTGCTGCCTGAAGCTTGCTCCCTCTACAGACTGAGTAACATTCAAAAAAAGAAAACAAAAAAAGTATAGCAGTAATTGTGCATGTTTGAAAACAAAAGCCCCAAGTTTACTTCAACAGTTATTATCCATTAATTTCTTAACAAGTCATATTAATATTTAAAGTACTCCACTGGTCAAAGTGAGTAGGAAAAAAAAAAAGAGGGAAATCACAGTAATAAGTTTAACTACTTTGGAAAACATGTTGAGGAAAATTATTTTTCTCCCCCCCTCACCACAAGACAATCACACAAAAAATGACACCTAAGTTCTACTGTCAATGCCTCAGCAGAGCTTAAGGTGTTGTTCAAAATCCAAATTCAAACTCGAGTAAGCAATAGATATGTATTTCCAAACCATACAGAAGTCAAATGAAAAGGGATTTCCCTCTCAATTTGAGACCTGGGAAGTGAATTATTTCCTTGACAAACTTTGAGGGAAAGAAAAAACAGAAAACCACAAGAAATTAACAAAATATCTAAGTAGTTAACAAATTATTATAATGAATCTCAATATTTAAGTAAAAAATAATTCCTTATAAACAAACTTTGAATAAGCTACCAAAAATTTCTGAAAGCTCCAGATCTGTTGATCATAGATGAAATTTTAGAAGATAGCTTCATGTGTTCATTTACATATAACAAACTTCTCATATTGCCTTTGAAGTTTAACTTTTTTTTTGTATGAACTTTGACTGACAGCGCTTATATATAGTGTTTGAGTTGTACTTGATATAACGCATCTAAAGTCTCTAAATTGCATGCAAAGATCATGCAATTTGCATTTTCCCCACATGATGGAAGTATCAGTCTATCAAGTCTCTTGTGGCAAAGATGACAGCAAACTTCATAATCAACAGGAAATCTACTGTCAATTTCTGGAAGCTGAGAAATTATCTGACTTAATTCAACCAGTCAAGAAAGAAAACAACACAGATTTTTTAAATATAAGAAGTCTTATTGCTTAACATGAAGTAACAATAAGCTTGCAAAAACTACAGTTTGCCAGTCTTCCCCATACACATTTTACAGCAATCCTTTCTGAATAGTTTTGTCTATATACTGTTCACAACACTTTCCCAATTCCTCCTGCTCAACTGCAATACTGCACTGATGCAAATATATTAGTTCAGACCTGAACTAAAGCTACTGAGCAATGGATACTCAGCTATCTCAGTAGACTTTGCTATATAAGTGACAGAGAGATTATATAATAGCTTATCCTTAAGAGGAAGTAATCAGCAATAGGTGAAATGAATTTTGGTCAAGCTGTAATCTGTATCAGTCACATTAAGAAAACTCATTTATAATCCCAGCTTCCTGGCATCATGTTTTTCTAATGCTAGCCTTTACCTATATAAGGGAAAGCCTCGGCTACCCAGGATCAACAGTAAAACCAAACTTGTAAAGATGCAATTCCTAAAAGTTCCTCTTTCAGGGAAATAAAAACTGACTAGGGAGAGTTCAGTTTCTCCTTTTCAAGTCTAAATGTTGTTGATACCATAGCTTCATCCCAGCTCTATTCTGCATGAAACATGAGACACCTTGCCTTCCTCACCCCATTCTTCTTCATCATCTCCATCTTGCTTACCTGCTCTTCTATTCAGCTGCTTTGCTGAGATATGGGAAGCAGAAATAAACACCTATTCTAGGAAATGGAGGGGACAGGGAGTAAGGAGGCACAACATTTAAGACCTCTCTTGTAGAGGAATGACAGGATAAGCCTTATTCCATAAACTAGGAATTACTACACATTGGGTAGGACCAAAAAGACTTTTCAAGTGTTTAATATCCAAAATGTGCTCTATATCACAGAACGCTGATCATTGAGGTAATGCAAGAAACAATGAAGCACAATGACTATAATGGATATAGCATACAACTAAAGTTTTTGGAAGAGATGAAAGAAAGTCTATCTAAAATCCTTGAGGCAAAGATTCATTGAAGAGAACAGGATCCACAACATATGCTTGCGATGAAATTTCCCACAATTCAGGAATGAGGTGACAAATACAACCCAGATATATTCAAGTAGTACTGGGGTAGTACTGGAACTTATTTTTATCCTGCTATATTGACACTTTAAGTATGCAGGTAAAGCTCTTCCAGTAGATTCTTGAAATATATTGCTTTGCAATATTAAACTAAGCTCTAATTACTTTTCTGATTGAAAATGTATTTAATTTGGAAAAAGCAGGTTAAAAGAGTTGACTATCTCAGAAACCAAGTAGAATGAAAATAAACAGATCACAGGAACCATCCTAGAACAGATAGGCATGATGTTCCCAGAACAGCAACTGATAGTTGCTGATAGACTATACTAAACAAAGAAGCTAGCTAATCAGTGTGGAAGAAAGATAAATAGAGCAATATAATAAGGACATTCAATGACCTGACTTTTAAAAATGCATGTGTGTACACGTGTGTATGTAGACATATGTAAGTAAAGCAATGGGAACACAACTAATACTGACAGCTGACTACATTTAACAATAGCGCAAGCCTATTTTCATAAGTTTATAAAGGCTAAACATGAAAGACAGCAAGAAACTTACATAAATACATTAAAGCAAGGCAATGCCACTCTCATAGCTGAACATTAAGTATATGCCTCTGTCTTGGTTCTTCTAGCACAAAATACTATAATTCATTTTAAACTCCTGATGAAGGCAATCTTAATCCAACAACAGCTCTGACAATGTGTCCAGGCACATACTTCTTTCCATGAACTCAGATGCTCAAGCAAAAACCCCTACCAGAGGGGTATTTAAATCACAACACACTTGCTAGATATCATCTGTTATCACTCTTCACATATTCATAGAGATTTGTATTTTTACTATGATTGAGGTTATGACATTTAGACTTCTCTAATAACAGGACTGCATGTTCAAAAGAACAGCAAAGAGCATACCTTTGTTGATGATGGTGGAGTAGGAAAATTAAGCCAGGCTGGAGCAAAGTCATGCTGCGCCATTTAGGTCCAGTCTCTCCGAATCAATGAAACAAGGCTTCAGCACCTCATGTCAAGTCCCTGTAATTGGAAAAAAAACCAAGAAATGAGTACTTTTCAGATTCTTATCTTACAAGAGGACTACACTTGTGGTGTTCTGATCATTATTTCCCTTCTGTTTTCTGGTATTATTTTCTCACACAGATCTGCTTTTAGAATCTAACCAGCCTCAATTATTTACAGCATCGACATCACATCTGCACTTTTATTACCCAAGTGTCACACTAATCAAATATATCACAGGTATCATGAAAATACAACTGTAACATTCACTCTTTTATTTCCTTGTATAAATGGGATGAAGCATCTTGTATAAGGTCTGAGAAGAAAGCTGTGGCAAAATTAGCTTGTTGGGATATTTTCTGGTACTATCTAGAACAGATTGCAGGAGCTATTTCATTAGCTTCCTAGAAGCAGCTGATTTTTCAAATTAGTCCCTAAAAGTTAATCTTAGAGGCCATTAAGTTCCTTAATAAAAGACTAAATTCTCAGGACCACCACAAGCCCCATATTTTCTCTAGATTTAATGGAAACAGTACTTACATGTCCAGAAATACTGTCAAAATCCAGTAAAATTCTCTAGTTTGAAAATGGGCAAGAGAAGGTAATGGCTTAAGATAAAACCCAAGAGTACTTTTTCTACCCCATGCTCTCTCCATAGGTGGGAAAACATCTCTCAGTAAGCAAGAGAATGCAAGATAATGCAAACTATATTACTTGAAGTTGGACAATAGCAAAGAAAGTAAAGAAACGGATGAAATTGTCTGAATTATAAGCAGCTAGATAGTGCAAAATTGTCAATGACTCAAAAATATCTTAAGTATGATATACACAGTATTATAAATTCAGCCAGTGAAAATCCATATGCATTTTACAGGGAGACCCAAATAAACACATATTCCACATCTCTGCACAACAGAGTGCAGATCTGTAAATGAGCAAAGATGTAGTTCATTTTAATCTAAAGCTGCTGTAATTTGAATAAGTTTTAGTAAGAGCTGTGGAACCTGAATTTGATAACTGATAATTATTGTCGTATTCTGGCCTGAACCAGACTACTGTAGACTTTCAGTGACAGAGGAAAATGTTCCAACTCCTAAAAGGAAGTATAGCAGATTTGCAAGCATTAAAGCGGAGTACTTAGTTGAGCTGCTGGTTCTTTTTTATGCAGTGAGCTCATACTAAAATTTTTAGGTATCTCTGATGCCAGAGTTAAACTATAAAGTAATATGCACAAAATCCACTAACATTAAATAGAGACAAGTTTAAAAGTACATATCACCCAAATAACTTGTTATAAATTACTCTACTAAAGTCATCCAACACACTCTCTTCTAAATTAACTTCAAAAGAAATTCCAGAGAAATTTTCTAAAGAATCCAATTATGTCAGACTAGTTAAAAAAAAGGAAGTTTTAGAGTCACAGAACTGTCACAAAAATGGCTTTCTAACAGGAATCAAGTTCACTTTTACTGATTAAGCATGTTCAGCAATGGTACAGAAACAGAAAAGGGGATATGTTTACAGATGAACCAATACAAGAGATACTAAATTAAGAAACAGCAAATTAAATGTGAACGGACTACAGCAATAAAAATATTTTTTTTCTCCTTCCCTCAGATACAGTTCTCACCTCCAAGCAAAAAAATAATGAAATTTTTAGAAAGGACCAAAACAGGTATCAATACTGGAAGATCAGCACAACAAGAAAATCTTCAGACTAAGGCACTTACAGTCTAAAAAAAAAACTAATGGAGAGATTAGGTTTATACCAAATAAGAACATAGCAAAAGATCAAAAAAGTATTACCAAGTTATCAGAGAATCGGCTATTAGGTATGGAACAACAAAAGCACTAACAATGCAATTTCTTAATAAATTAACCTTACTGTTTTTAGAAAACTAGTCAAGCATCCTAACACTACTATTTATCCAACTACCATGAAAAGAGTTTATTCTTAATTTACTAACATCCTGTGCTGGTTTTGACTGGGATAGAGTTAATTTTCTTCATAGTAGCTAGTATGGGCCTATTTTGTGGATTTGTGGTAAAAACAGTGTGGATAACACAGGGATGTTTTCATTATTGCTGAGCAGTGCTTACACAGAGTCAAGGCCTTTTCTGTCTCTCATACCACACCACCAGTGAGTAGGCTGGAGGTGCACAAGAAGTTGGGAGAGGAATGTCCTGGTTTTGCTGGGATTGAATTGTAGAATTCCCTTTTAATGTTTCAGCAGAGCTGGATTTCTGAGAAAACTGCAGTATTCGCTAACAAGGTTATTGTTTTCGTTCTCACTGGCAGATATTTATGTTTTTCAAGGTTTTGCCTGCACCTGTGGTTATAGTTTTTTGGGTTGGTTTTTTTTTTTCCTTCTCTCTGCACAAGAGAGAAGGGGGAGGAAGTGAGAGCCTGGGACTCTGGGATAGGTGAACCAGGTCAGATGATCTGGGTCTGATCCAAGCTGACCAATAAAGATGTATTCTATCCCATAAACATCACACTCACTATAAATTGGGGAGTTGGCAGAGGATGACCCCTTCCCCTTCTTCTTTACCCTTCATCCTTTCAGCCCCTTCAATTCCTTTCCTTCTCCTTCATAATGGCGGCCTGCCTCAGATCCTGAGGCTTACCCCTCCTTCCTTGTCGCGTTTTCATTGGCGCATGGCCAGCGGCTGCTGTTAGTGAGCTGAGTATAACTTTGATTGCTATATTACTGCTGTTGCTATTCTTGTTACAATTAATTGGCATTATTATATAAGTATGGGTTGTTTTAGTTATTAAATAGTCTTTATCTTAACTGATGAGTTCTTTACTTTTAATCTCTGGATTCTCTCCCCATCCCACCAGGGAGGGTGGAGGACAAACAAATGAACAGTGTGGGTTTTAGCTGTTTGCCAGATTAAACCATGACAGACCTTTTTGGCACCCAACATGAGGCAGAAAATTATTTATTTGGCACTAAACTAAAATAGCCTATTCAGGAGAACCGAGAGCTTGTAATCTGAGTGGCTCAAAAAGTTGAGATAAATGTTTTTGACTAGTACATATATACATTGTGCTGGTTTAATACTCGGACAGAATTTTGACTTTTTTGGTCACAAAAATGCTGCGCTAGTTCCCACAGTTGTGTTATGGAATATTCTGCTTGCCATTGCCGGTTGTGGTGTTGTTTATCATTCCTGGGACTCTGTGGTATGCAATGTTGATAGTAAGGTTTTTCTTAGCTCTGGTCTCAGTGCTATCACCATTTTTGTACCTCGGGCACAACCTACTGGGTATTGGTAACAACTACACATATTTTTTCACAAGGCAACACATGACTAAGCTGTACTTAAACTGTCCCCTGTTGGTTACAATTGACAATTATACTTTTAATTCCCTTTGCTATGGAGCTCAGCTTATGGGAAAGATATCCTATATTCTCTCCACCAGATTAATTACAATGGTGTTGAAGGATTTTGAAAATTTTTAATATCCTTGGGATGTTCCAACTACTGTGCTTGTGTTGTCAGGCCTTTTGAATGTTATCCAGTTTATGGTTTTGTTTCGAGGGTGATACATATTTAGACTGAGATTCTTATGGCCATTACTGAGACTTGCCTCAACCCCTGCAACAAGCACCATGGTTGCTTCAGCCCATTCGACAAGAACTCTGGCTACTCAGACCTGAGCGAAAGGTACCATGACTATCCTCAGCCAATGCAATGAAATCTGAGTAACTGGACCCAGGAACCAGGCACTCCAGCAAAGCAGACCCAAGCACCAAGTACTACAGCTACTCAGACCCCATTGAAGGACGATGCAGCTACACCAGCAAAACAACCAATGCTGGTATCAGTCACCCCTGCAAAGAAAGCGCAAAAGACAGCTCCTGCTCCTGGTCCTGCTCCTGCAGTAAGAGATAAAGACAAGGAACCAACAGTTCCTGTGGTAAGGAATGAAGATAAAGAACCTTCTTCTAAGAGGAAGCTGCAAGAAGACACATACAGCTCCACCAGTGTGGGGGAAGACGACACTGAAGCAGGGCCATCACAAGAATGGGAGAAAGAAGTATATGGACCCATCACCAAGAAGGAGGAAGACGGCACTGTTTCAGAATTGGCAAATAACTTTGAAACAATTTGCCTACAGGAAGAGAAAGATCCTGATATGCCTCCCCTAGAAACATTTCCAGAGAAAGGAGAAACTAGAGCCAAGGAAGTAACTGCTACCCACTTAACCACAAAAGAGCTGCGCAATGTTCAAAAAGATTTTACTCGTCATCCAGGTGAGACTATTACCGCCTGGACAATATGATGTTAGGACAATGGAACTGAAGGCATAAAAACTGACCATAAACAAACCAAGCTAGTGGGATCACTCACCAGGGAAGGAGGCATTGACAAGGTATTTGCAATAGTAGATGAAAGACCCTGGAGCCTCTGGCAGTGGATTTTGCTAGCTGTGAGGATAAGATTTCCTTACAAGGACCACCTCTTATCTGTATGCCAGTCAAATGGCCTACCATAGAATAGAGAGGTATCCAGTACCTGAGGGAATTAGCTGTGGTAGAGTTAGTTTATGATTACCGGGGTGATCCTTAGAAATCCATAGGCCCAAATGCAGTTACATGCAAACCGCCTATGTGGCAAAAGGTTGTACAGAGTGCACCAGCATCGTATGCCAGCTCATTGGCAATAATCAGCTGGAGAGACGGAGAGATGCCAACAGTGGATGAAGTGATTGAGCACCTGTGAGATTACAATGATAGTCTCTCTTCCTCCATATGAGCCTGTGTTTCAGTTGTGGAGAAATTGGTCCAGTGACTCAATGAGAACAGATTCTTCACTCCACCAGTACAGACACATATCTCAGCCATCAAGAAGAAATGCTCTCCTGGTAAACCTTTTTGAGGGAGATGCTACACCCTATATAGCACCCTATGGTTTTTCTTGTGTGACCATGGAGAAGCCATGAGGAAGTG